CGCCGGCCGCTCGCCCTTCCCTGCTCCTGGGCCTTCCCCCGGCTCCCCCGGCGCCGTCCTCCCGCCGCAGCATCGTCAGGCTGACCGAGGCGCGGGGCTCGCGGGGCTCCCGGGGCCCGATCGCCCTCCGGACGGCGTGGGACGAAGTTCGGCCCGGCAGGAAGGACCTCGGCCCCGGACCCGGTGCTCCAGCTCCTGTCCAGACCCCGGTGGGCGCCCCACGGGCTGGAAGGCGATTCTCCTTCCCGAGCCTCCACCGTTGGGTCGGGTAGAAAAACCTCAGAGTCGTCCCTGGGGATGATTTATGCGAGGTGGTCGTGGGGAGACTTCTGTGTTGGACCTTAGATGAACATTGAGGAATGGACGCCATTTCCTAGACTCGTTTGTGGTGGAAACCACAGAAACAGGATTCTCTTTAAATTGCATTCGCCTATGTTGTTCTTAAAGGTACTTTTCTGGGAGGTAGACTTAACATATTTCCCTCCTAAGATTTTGTGAGTGTGACTGAGGTTACTTGTATTTTATTTTATTTTTTTCTGTTAACCAATTTTACTTGTTTCATGATGTTTTTTGTCAGTAGAATTGGTGTTTGTATAGCCAGTACAGTATGTAGCAGAAATAATCTTTGTCACATAACAGGCGGTGAGAACATCTTTTAGGGATCTAAAAGATGGGAAGATTATCCATCATCAATTTCTGTAGGGTTGTAGTCTCACATCTTGAGCTTTCTTTTTATCCTTTATGTTTTCGTTGCAAAACTTTTATCTAAGTGTACACCTGGAGTATTTTAAAGCAAATCCCTGGCCTAAATACTTAGGTACATACTTTATATCATATCTAGGAGAGGTAAGGACCCTTTAAAAAAATACCCAAAACCATAATATAGTTAGTTACCCCTTACCACCAAAAATAACATTAATTTCTTGGTATTATGTAATACCCAGTCATATTCAATTTTCCTGTTGTCTTTTTGAGTGTTAAACAATTTCAAGTTTACAGAAAAGTTCCAAGAAAAATATAAAGAACTCCTATATCGTTACTCAGATTGACCACTTATGTATATTTGGCTACTTTATCTTTCTCTTTATGCATGTGCACTAATATTTTTTTCTGAACTATTTGAGAGTGGGTTGCTTATATCATGTCTCTTTTCATCTTAGTACGATACACATTTCCTAAGAACAATGGTATTTTTTTACATAAGTACAGTCATCAAGTTCAGGAAATTCAGCGTTGATACATTACTTTTATCTTTTTAAAATACCATTTATTTGCTGAAGAAACTATCATTTATGCATCATTTTCATCAAATATTCAATCTATTCATTTACTTTTATGGATTCATGGTTTTTTATTTTATTTAATGGATTTATTTTGTAGAATTTTACATTCCGAATTTGGTTGATTTTATTCTGGTGTTTTTAGGATGTTCCTTCGTTCTCTTTATTTCTTGTCAACTGGTTAGAGTCAGACACAGATTCAGGTTCAGTTTTTAATTTTTTATCTTTGTAAGAATATTTCAAGAGGGTTCTGTGTAGTTCCTATCTACATAGCATCATATCAGGAGGATATAATGTGCATTTTTTCACTGTTAGTAATTTTAGGATTGATTAATGGGTGTAGGGATGTTAGTCCATCGTTTGTGAAGTTCCCCATCTACTTTCAATAATAGTTTTAGCAGCCACTAATTCTGTTTGACTAGGTCTGTTTCATTAGCAGATGAAAATCTAGATGACTACTGCCAATGATGCTTTTCTAATGCTGTCATTACTCTTGCATATTGGTAACTCTTTTTAAAGAGTTTATAACTTTTATATTTACATTTAAGTTATAAAAATACTAAGGCAGTAGTCATCTAGAATATTAGGGTTCTGAGCAATTGAAAAACAATGTTATATGAAATATGAGGATGGCCAGCATCTGAATAGGTTCTATGCTGTACTTGAATAGTCTTTCAAAGCTTATTTTAAATCAGTTTTTAAATATGGTATCAGTTATACCAAATAAATTCAAAATTTTTTGGATTTTGTAAACTGAACAGAATTAGGAAGATTAAAAAAAAAAAAGGAAGAATAAGGCTATGACTGAATACAGTCCAATGACCAAATGCCATCATTGTTCAAGATTTCCCAATTTTAAAAATTAAAAAATACATTCGGAATAGTCAGACTTATAGGAAAATTGTGAATATAGTATAGAGAATTTTTTTCATGAATCATTTGAGAATGACTGACAAACTGAATATTTTAGTGTGTAATTTCTACGGTCAAGGACATTCACCTCCATAATTGCAAGACAACCATCAAAATCAGAAAATCAACATTTACACATTAAAACCATCCAATTCCCAGTTTCTTTTCATAATCAAGTTTTTCCAGTTGTCCAGCATTGTCCTATATAATGAAAGGATAAAATTTACAGTGACTCATGTTTAGCTGCCAGGTTTTCCATTTGGGACCAATTCATCTTTTCCCAACTTTTATAACCTTGAAACTTTTGAATGTTACAAATCAGTCATTTTGTAGAATTCTCCTTAATTTGAGTTTGCCTAATATTTCCTTGTGATTAGGTTATATATCTTTAGCACATGTATCACAGAGATATTTTTATCATTTACCTATTAGCACATGATTTCCATTTGTCCCATTTCTAGTAATTTTCATTTTGATCAGTGGATTAAATCGAGTCTGCCTGACTTCAGAGTAGCTACTTTTTTCTCCTTTGTAATTAGTGTTTTATAGGGCTATACTTTGAAGCAATGTAAATATACCATTTTAATCAAATGTTCAATTTATTTACTTTTTTATAATTATATGGATTTATGATTTCCTATTTTATGTCATGGATTTTAAATCCAATACTATAATTTGTTTTGATGCTCAAATTGTCCTCTGGTCAGTGGGATCCCTTTCAGTGTAGCTTCTGAGTCCTCATTCAGCTTAAGCTTCAGTATTTTGTGCTAGGATACCCCACATTGTGAACATCCTTCTTAGATTCTTCCAAGAATAGACCATTCACCCAAGATTATGCTCTCTTCACCAGGCTTGGGCTCTGACAAACAGTTTTTGGCTTCCACTACAACTGTTTCCACACCCAGCATGGGGACTTGCCAGGCGTCTTCTCTTTGTTATCTCAGGGCTTTATTTTTATGTGAACTGGTTTGGACTTTCTTACAGCTTGATGGCTCAGCAGTTTGACTGCGTACATGGAATAAAGTAGAAGCTGTATTGCCTTTTATGATCTAGCCGTGAGAAATGCATAGCATCACTTCCGTTTTATTCTTGGTTAAAATAATCAAGGTCCCACCCAATTTCAAGGGTTAAGGCATGGACCAGAGCTCTCAATGAGAGAAGTGTCAAAGTCAGTGTAAGAAGAGCATGTGGGATGGGAGATACTATTGTGGTCATCCTTGGAAAATACAACCTGCTAAACTGAAAGAAGCAAATTACGTAGAAACTTTATTTTCAAGATCTTGTCCTAGTTTTTGTTTATCTTCATAGTCTGAGAAAGAACTTGTCAAAAAAGCAAATACATTTGCCTGACTGTTCAAGATATAAGATGAGATACTGAATGCATTGTCAGTATCTTACCTTAGAAAGAGAATTGAGCTGATGAAAAAGTAATTTGCCAAAACTTTATGAAAATTTGAAATTAAGATCCTTAGTAAATATGGGCTATTTATTATTATTGTTATTTTTGCTTTTTATAGCATCTTGTGATTTATTTAATTGTTCACTGATACTTTAACAAGCATGGAGATAAGATTAGAAGTTTTGACATCAACAAGTATCAAGCAGAAAAAACCCTGGCCACGAGTCTCCTGGTTGGGACAGGTAGGTTTGTTTGTTTTTTTTCTTTACACTATACCAGTTGTAACGTGTGTTAAATGTATGCTTTATATCTAAGAATGAAGAATATTCTGTGGCCTTTAAAAATTATAACCCATCTTTAGAAGGATTACCTGCCCACTGAGCAGGGTTTCATGTGTTTGTTTTTATTACTGTGTACAAGTTAGCTTTTCCAGAAAGTTTAATGGTCTATCTAGAAGAAATATTTTACTTTCAAAAAATTTTTTTTCATATTATGTTTAAGAAGATTGAGCTAGCATTGAACCTTTCCCTATAGGAATAGTCAGTGGAGTATTTCTTCCCATTGAGGCTTTCATGAGTGTGCAATAAAGTGCCTCTTAGAACTAGAATAAAGATGGGCCACAATACACTAAAGGCAAAGGAACATCATTCACAATATATGGAATAGATTCCTCACCTTAGGGAAGTGGGCAAACCTATAAAATCCTCTTAGAATTTATAATTAATAAAAATTTTAAATTCAGTGTTTAGTGTCATTTCTGTGAGATATTTTATCTAATTTCCTCTAGAACAACCTCTCTTGGTTCTGAATCATCTGGAGATCTTGTTAAAACAAGTGCTGGGCCCTACTCTCAGAGTTTCTGATTTCGTAGGTCTGGGACAGGGTTGAAAAATTTGTATTTCTAACAGGATCTGAAGTGTTGCTGATGCTGCTGGTAACTTTGAAAGCCACTGCCTTAGAATATATGAAAACAAGGTTAATTCAAAACAGCATACTTTTTCTAGATAATAAAAAATGATCAGAGCCATGGATTACAGAAGCCATATCTATTTTAATCTAACTTATTTAAAACTTGCCCATACTACTCACTGTTCAAATCAATGCGATTAAGCAGTGGAATTCAGTTTTGGCAAGCAGAATAGGAAGACTTTCCCATAGTTTTAAACTTTAAAGAAATCTAAGTTACAATCATTAGGTCATCTTACCACATAATTTTAATAAGAGGTTTTTAATTTTGGAAATCTTCAGTTAACTTTATTGTTCATTTTATAATTTGTGATACAAATGTATAATCTTTCTTAAATATCACTATTTTCCTTTCTGGGATAATTTATTTAGATGAAAGTTTGAATTAACTTCTGGCACCTCTTAAGTCTCTCACATATTTCTTCTCTTAGGAAAATGAAGCCGTTTTCCTTTTGGATGGTAAATTCATAAATGAAATTAATTTGCTATCAGGAAGGACAAAGAAGAAAATTCCTAGTCTGCAGCCTTTGTTGAAGGATGTTATTGTCCTAACAACATCCAGTAATGGTTAAGTACTACCGATATTTCAAAAGGCTAGAGTCACTGAATTTTGACAAATAATTTGGGTAATATTAAGGGAAGTATTAGATTGTAAGTATTGCATTTCTCTTTTGGAAACAGATGCCTGGCTGGCTGGGGTACTCACTACGGGGGAGCTTTTCCTTTGGAACAAAGATCAAGATTGTTTGAAAACTATACAAGCACCTGAAAAGCCTAAGGAAATGATACAAACTGCAGTAGGTGAGAATTTATTTTGTACTTGTTAAATAAGAAGAAAAGAGGATGAAACATTTTCCTATTACTATTTTTAAAAAAAACTCTGTATATATATGTATTTCCTTATTTATGTATTTTTAAAGCATTTTATTAGTTTCAAGTATACAGTACATTGGTTAGACATTTAGATAGTTTAAGAAATGATCCCCCCGATTACCGTATCACCCCTCTGGCTCTACACCTAGGGATCACGTTACTGCTGACTACATTCCCTATGCCGTACTCCCTTTCCCCATGACCATCTCTCAACTACTAATTTGTACTTCTTTAACCCTTCACAATGTATGTGTTTTTTGATGGTGTTTATTTGTGATACTTAAGTCGGTTATGCCTGACATATCTGTGATAACAGTGGGTTCCTAATATCACATAAATATGTGATAAATATTATTATTTGTACTTCTAATATATTACTACTGCTTTCGTTTTATATCCTGAATGGTAACATTTAGATTTCTTATTGTCAGAATAGATAAATTATATACTTTCTGGGGAGACTTCAGACTTTAGAGGTTTAATTACTTTTTTCTTTTCTTTTTTTTTTAGCAAGTGGTTTGAGATTGTATTTGTATGTATCTGGAAATGGGAAAAGAGTTCTGCTTATAACTCTTTCTGGATACATATTTCTTTGGGAATATTTGGAGTTCAAGAATATCTTAACTTCTAAACACCCTTCGTTGATGGGCCAGTGGTCCCAGATCATACCTAAAGAATCAGCTCATTTGCCTTCCGTTGAAGATAAAGAAGCTGTAGTACATGCTGTTTTTATAAAAAATGAGGTAAAATCCAAGTCAGACAGGGTGTTATAGAAGTTGATCTCAGACTCTAAAAATAGACACTATCTGTGAAGCTGTTGAGCAAAGTGCATAATGGTATAGCTATAGATCTCTAGTCATCATGTCACACTAATTGTGAAATTATTATGGAAAAGATTTTTATATTTTTTGGTTACATTTTAAAAAATGTTTATTAAAAATAGTTTGAACTTAGAACTTCCTTTCTCTTCTCTGGTTTTACTTTTCTCTAGTTTTAAAATATAACTAGAATCGATGATATTAAGTAAGCCATCAATTCCCAGGATATAATACATCATTAACTGAAAAACATTTTAAATAGCTGCATGGGTGTATGGACCAAAATTTTATTATGCAATTTACTGTTGTTAGAAGTTGTATTTTCAAGTTTTACTGTTTTTCTCTACTCCCCCGCAACCTCCCCCCGCCCCTCCCGCCCCATGGGAATAGTGCCCTAATTGAAAAAATATATAGCTATTTTAACAAGAGAAAAATAAGTAAATCTTTCCGGTTATAGCCACAGTAAATGGCAGTGTTCTTAAGAGAATAAACTGCACCTTGATGTCCTATTTGGTAGATATGCCTCTGGCTCAGAAATAAATTGCTTAGTCTTTAGCTTAATGTTAAAAATAAAAATACAAGCAGGATCTCAATATGTTTTATTTATTTTATTTACAATGAGAATATATTTTATATATCTTGATTTATTTTCAGATTAATTTTGTTAAATTTATCTACAGTTATTTGGAGACTGCTGCCTGTGTTCATTTACTTTTTATTCTGAGGAATGCCTAAAGTTAACATTTCTAGCAATTCGGTGGCATGAGAATGTATTTACACCTATAAGGTGAGATAAATGTTTCCTTCTTTCTTATTTTCTGTCCTTTTAAAACATCTTTTGGCCTATAAGTACATAAAAAGATTCATAGTAGAAATGAGAATTTCATCTGAGACTTTTACAAATCTTTTCTTTCCATAAATGTTCTATTTCTTCAGTTTTCATTTTTAAATGTTTAATCTAGAAAGTTTCTTTTTTGCTTTTGTTTTCCTTCTTGGAAGAGAGAATACATAAAAGATATGGCAGGCTATGGTCTTACTTGTCTTAAGACTAAAAAAACCATTTTAGAAAGTAATTCAATTGAAATTTAGAAGGTACATAAGTTGAATTTACTACTGTACCTTTTAAATGCTCAAGTATTTTTTATTAAAAAAGTTATGTTCTAAAAAGCCCAATAAAATTGAATGCATTAAAAGCATATAATGCCTAAATAAGATTTACTAAAATAGTGTGAATTTTGGTTTTTTTTTTCTTTCTGTTCATTTTACTTTTTTTATGTTAACAATACCTTATTAGGTTATAATTTATATAAAGTAAAATAAATGAATCTTAAGTGTACAACTGGACTTTAATAAATATACGTGTGTGTAACCATCCTCATATCAAGTATAGAACGAACATTGCCACTATCCTAAAAAATCTCCTCTACCTATTTAATCCCTTTAAAAATGTTAGTAATAATGTAGAAATATGTGTATCTAAACCATTAGTGGAAGCAGATGTATTTAGGGTTGGCTACAGATCATTATTAGTAACAAAACTGATATTGAGCTTAATTTGTGACTCTTTTGTCACCTAGATAAAACTCCCAGATGGTTGCTAAGAGGCCCCCTAATATGTGCACATGTACGAATTTAGTTGGATTTTTAAATTTTTTTTGTAATGAAATTTAAATTAATTTAAGTTACTGTACTACTTGTTTTCAATTTCACTTTCATAGTTCATTGCCATACTGCGTTCATTGGGCACAACAAGATTGCCTTCTGAGTAGTCTAATTCCTAAATGTGAGTCGGTGAAGTCAAAAGGAGCTCTGATTTCTGCCTTTTCAAGAGATGGCCTTACTCTGGCAGTAACTCTTAATCAGAAAGACCCAAAGGTCAGTGAATGTACTCTGTCTTGGAAATAACCTATAAAAGAGAGTTTAGTTCAGTTTTGAGGATTCTTTTTTCCCCCTGAAGATTGTTTTTTCCCCTTAATATTACTTTGTTTTTTAAATTGTTTTTTTCTGATCCAGCTTAAATTAAATTAGCTGCCATATCATAGTTTTCAAAACTTGGACTTGGCCTTCAGAAGTGAAAAGAGGGTAAGGATAAAGGAAGAAAGAAGGGCAGTGTGGTAACTTATGTTTTTAAGATATATAAAAAGAAGAGTTATGGGTTGTCAATATTGTTTTGCCAGTTGGGAAAGATCCCCGGATAGTTTACTGTTATAATAGATCTCTAGGTTTCCAGAATTATAAGTAATGGTTAAAGTAAAATAATTTTAATGCTTTTATTGTCTCTTTTTTTCTTTCTAGGCAACTCAGGTATTATTTATAAACACACTAAATTTTGTTACTCTCTGTGGTAGCCTTAAAGGATGTAGCAATAAGAATCCTGTGGTTCCAGCTACACTCATCAGGTAAGAACTCTTTTGTATTTCTAAATGATGTTTTTATTTTCTTTTCCAACAGTTTGATAAGTTTAAGGCTCTGATAATTCAATAACTGTTGAAATACATATTCAGATAGGTAATGCAACTTTCAGCATTTGTGCTTGATAAATCCTGAAAATTGCTTTATATGAGGAAAGACTTAAATACTTTCAGGAAGAGTCTGGTAGGGTAGAAGATACATGAACATATTTCTTTTATTTCTTTCTACATCGTCTTAGGAGAAGTGGAATCATGACTGGTTAGAAAAATATTGGGCTTAATTGGAGAGGCTGAAAGGAAAAACCTGGACTGGGAAGACCATTATTTACTTAGGCAGAGATGTTTATAGTCTTTTAAACAAAGTTGGCATTCTTCCCTATGAGTCAGTAGCAACATAAGTGGTGATTTTAGATGGCACATGAACTGCCACCAGGACCTGTGTGGGAATATAGTGTAGGAAGATTTCCTCTTGGACCTTCTAATTTCCTTTTCTGAACACTTTATATGCTATTCTCTGAATTTCCAATTTTCAGGTCAATCCAGCCTTGCCTTTTCATTTTGCTTTCCCTCCCAAAAGTTCCTTTTGAAAAGTATCGCTGGTTTCAGTTCTGCGGTTTTTTTGACTTAGCGTGTCCATTTACATGAGGAAGAGCTACTTTTTTGTCTCCATGAAATATATTACCAGATAGTTAAGGAGTTAAGGACTAGTAACACTGGCTTTGTGAAGAGGGAGGCTGCTGCTGAGTGGAACTCAAGCAGTCTTCAAAGAGGACAGGCATGGTGTTGAAGTTTAAATCTATCAGTAGATATTAGTTGTAGACACCAGTAGGATTAAAAGTTGTTCTGATTAAGATGTGAGTGACTAAAAGGCTTAACTTTTTTTTTTAAACTTATGTTAATTAGTTTACAGTATACCGTACATTGGTTAGACATCTATATAGTTCATAAAACGATCCCAATTGCTCCCTCCCTTTCCTGACTTTCCACCTAACCAACATACTAATGCTAACTGCATTCCCTAAGCTGTGCTCCCCAAAAGCTTAACTCTTTTAGGGAGTATTTTCATTTTATAATTTGCTTATGAATCTAAGTAAATTTCTTATTGTATGTTGTATGGAGTAGATATTAATGAGCAAAATTTTTTTTTCTGAGAAGTGAAATACATGAAGTATGTGTGTCAGTTGCCTACGATTCTTTCTGTTGCTTTTATTTTCGAAGTGTTTCCCTCCTGCTTGGCTACTATAAATTGTCAAAGACATTGTAGAGAGTCCTTTCTAAACAAATTGTCTTGTTTTTTTTCTAGGTCCTACTGGGTAGGTGATATCAGCTGGACACATGATAGTCTTTTTCTGGCTTGTGTGTTAAAACGTGGCTCTCTGGTTTTATTGACTTGCCAGGGTGAATTGCTAACATTAATTACATTTGGTTGCTCTGTAGAATTTGGGCCAGCAGAATTTATTCCTCTTCACCCACTAATAACATATAGGTGAGACATTTAAATTGTTAATTTGTTTATAGAAGTTTTTCTTTTGGTATTACTGTACTGTTTTTTTTTTATAATTTCATCTTTCAAATTGTCTTATTCTTTCTTTGAGTTGTCATCTCAATATCTGTTTCCTATTTATAGTTTTTTTCTATTTCTTTTTGTGGCTTAATCCTGGTGAAAATTTGACATTGTGACTATGTAAGTATAAGTTGTTTAAATATTGCACTAAAAATTAATTTTCTTTTATATAAAAGTTAATAAAATCATGATATGTACTTCAGTGTCTTAACAGAGCACTTAGGTAAATTAATTCAAAATTAAGTCAGCAGTTGGATTTATCTACTTTTTTCCCAAAGGGAAAAAGTTGTTGGAGGAAATTGTTCAAAGACTTTAGAATTTAGCCATATTTTAATTTTTAATTATGAGATGGGGTAGCAGTTTGGCTTTGGAGTCAGATCAAAATTCGAATCTTGGTTTTTCTACTTGTTAGTTGTATGACTTTGGGTAAGTTATTCTTTAAACCTGTTTCTTTTACTGTGAGTGAAGATGATAAATGATCGAGGGAATGAAGGAAGATAATTATAAATCACTTAGCACAGTTCTGCCATAAAGTTAGTGCTTAGTAAATGTTTGTCGTTATTGATGTTGCTGTTATACATGGCTAGACACATATACTCAGCTATTTGCAAAACAAAAAAAAATTGGAAAAGACCTTTGAAAGTCATCTAATCCCTTTGCTTTACAGAAAGGAAACTAAGAAGGGCTATGTCCTTGATTATATTTAGCAAAAAGTGATGCTTAATTTTTAGCAGTAGAAAACTCTTATGGAAAAAAGTTTCATTTCCTGCAGTGAAAGTATTTTTTCCTCATTTCTTGTGGTCTGATTCATAATTGACTATAATTTCCTCCCATTCTCTTTAAAATTAATATTTGGGGCCTTTCAAAATAGATTGCTTTTTCTGATAACAGTAGTAATACATATTTTAAAAAACGTGAAAATCAAATGTTACAAAACTAAATATTGTAGAAAATGAAAGACTTGTAATTTTATTCCTCAGAGATAACAATTAACATTTTAATGTTGTCCTCTAAAAAATTACACATTTGTAATAACAATAATAGTTTTTCTTAAAACAAAATATATGACATAGAATGTTTTCGATTTTGTTTTTTTGGTTTAACAGTATATCTGATAATGTATTTCCATAAAGTCATTTTTAATGGTTCTATAGATTTGCGTGGTATATGCATTCTATAACTAATCTCTTATTGTTGACCATTTGCCTAATAAAATCTGTGTTTGAATAGTTCCCTAACCAAAATCTTATATTTTGATAATTTGTCCTCTTTGTATTTATAAAGCCCTAAAGTTACTAAGTAGCGATATTAAGTAATCAGAGTCAGGTATACCACCACAACAATAAATAAGTTCATTTATGTGGAAACTCAGTTAATTTTAAACTGCTGAAATTTTACTCACCACCATCCTCTCCAAATGTTCTCAGTTTTTCTTTCTCTTTCTTAACACATATAATCATAGTTCATAATTATAAATATATTTAAATATATGGTAAGAAGAAAAGCTAATTTCAGTGGTGTTTTTTTTCTTTCTCTTCCTTAACACATATAATCATAGTTCATAATTATTATAAATATATTTAAATATATGGTAGGAAGAAAAGCTCATTTCAGTGGTAAACATGACTGTCTTAAATTCTTTTATGAAATAGTTTTATAAAACTAGATTAGAAAAATAGAGTGAATATCGCAATTCAGGGAAAACTCAAAAAAAATCTAAACTATATATTGTGTAATTATGTTTTCATTATAAATATATACACATTTAATATTTTGCATTTAATGTGTTTACCTGTCATCATTCTATAACTTTTAATTGTTTTGCTTTTTCTTTGGAATGTTTTTTTAAGATTTTTTTTTTTTTTTTTTCTAATTTTGAATTTTGATGTTTGTTTGCTAGACCACAGCAGTTTACATTTCAAGATTTAAATACTGTAGATTCATCAGCTTCTGATAGTGACCCTATGAGACAGAGATTTTCTGTGAAAGCACACTCACGGTTACCCTACCTCATTATTTCTGATGGATACATGGTCACAACCCTTCGATTTCATGATAACCTGTCTCCATCAGTGCTCATGAGATCCCTTCTACTTGATTCAGCCCAGAGGCTTGAGAAAACATACCAAAGTGTGCTGTTGTCTAAGGTATAGTGCTTTTTGGTATCATTCGTAAAAGTTGTTTTCTTATTTTTTCAGATTTAAAACTATACTGACAGTAATGTCCTTGTATTGTATACAGTTATCTATAGAATTTTTAATTGCTTGTAATAGAATTACAGATACGATTTTGCTCTTGGAAATCTTATCTTCTTTAGCCGAAAGGCAAAGGTCTGAACTTGCGATCACTGGATTCCCTAAGGTCGAGCCTGTTAAAACACCAAGAAAATGAAAGTTCAGCTGATTCTTCTGTCCCAAGATTCTTGCAAGTAGAGGAAACAATGAAATTAAATGAAAAAACAGATTTGCAGGTACTTAGTAGTGGTGTTTTATTCACTTTGAACAGTTAATGTATTGACTATATTCCAAGACATGTAATTTGTTTCATTTTTCTCGTTAAAGGAAGAGAAATTTGAGAACACCAAAGTAATTCTACTTGTATTAAATGGCATTCAGTATAATTTTTTTCACTTATGTTTTAGGATTTTGAAGCAGAAGAAACTAACGAAGCCATACACTTTCCAAACAACTTACTCTCTTTTTGGAACCAAAAAAGTGGTCCGTTGTTTAGTAGTGCCAAGGAGGGAAAGTTGGAATTTGCGTCTATGTTTGATACGATACATGCAAAGGATAATGCTGAGGAGACAGACAGAACCATTACTGAACTACATTCTGTCCAGAAAAATCTCCTTGCAGCATGGACTATAGGAATTTCAAAAAGTGTGACAGAAAAAAAATCAATGTTAAATTACACAGTAGTTTGTATCACTCATTTTTTCTATATTCTTCAATTTATAAAATGTCCTTTCCCCAAACTTGATCTTTTTTTAAGCAAGAGCCCAAGACATAATGCATGGGTACTTTGTATCTTTCAACTATTTCATCAATGTTTATCAATTCAGTATTGGGATATGAGATACAAACAAGATGTGGGACATTTGGTCAAGCTGACCTCAAATACTGTAACACTTTTGCTGACTCAGCAACAGCGGGGTCATTTATTCTCAGAGAGGCTTTTAGCCTGTTTTCATTTACTCAGAATGGTAGCTGATAATTTAAATGGCGTATACAATCTCCACCCTGAAGTTATTTCAGCATCAACTGATGGAAGTCGAACAACAAATCAAGACTCATTGATGGTACCCATTTTTCAAATATTTCAAGATAGTGGTTCACAGGCAAATTGGTCTTGGAATTCATCTTTCAAGATTCGTCCTCAAGTAGTAAATCTTGTTCAACAGCCAGGACACAGGTATAAATTACTTTAATATTAGCATACCATCAGCATTGTAGATCTTTTCCTTTTTAAAAAATTGAGATATAATTCCTGTACTATAAAATTCAACATTTTAGTGTGCAGTTCAGTAATTTTTAGTCACACGGTTGTAGAAATATTAGTACTAATTCTAGAATATTTTTATCACCGTAAAAAGAAGCTTTGTATCCATTAACGCTCAGCATTATAGACTTTATTTTATCTAAAAATATTTCGGACTTATGCCAAATGTTAATCAACACACATATTTTATTAGTCTTGAGGAACAAGGATACTATTGAAAGATTTGGGTTTATGAAGATTTTACAAATAACGCATTTTTTTGATTAGTGAACTTTGTGCTATATTTAAATCTGATCAGTTTGTATATATTATTACATCATTGAAGAATACAGGCAGAGTAAGGCTAAGTAGGAAGCTATACTCATTATCCATCATCTGAGATTTGGTTTTGATGATTACCTAATTTTGTGTATAGATTGATTGTTCTCTGGAGAGTACTGTATGAAAAAACTTTATGGTATCAAACGCAATTAAGTCAAAGAGTTCCTGAAGGTGACCAACAGTTAACTGAAAAGATGACACATGAAGCATCTACTGTCAAGTCCCTGCTGTGTCATATACAGGCTAACTTACAGACTGCCGGAGTTTGCTTGAACAAAACCTTAGAGCTTAAATCTATCAATGGTCAGTATCTCAAACAATTTCTAACTCTACAAATAAGTGATATAGTAACTGGGCTTTGATTTATTAATTGGTTGTGATTGTTTTTCAAAATAATATCTGGCTGAGCTGTATCCACTAAATTTTAAAACATAAATTTTTATAAAGTAATGTAATTAGCCATAACTAATTGTTGGTTAAAAACTTTATAGGTGAAGAGTGTTTCCTATTAGGATCATATGAAAAATCTGTTCAACTGTGGAAGAAAGCTCTACAAGAAACTCAAGAGAATGGTAGGGGAGTGTTAAAAAAATAATATTTGCCATATATTGGTAAAAACATTTTAGCATTCTATAGAGCCTAATAATTCCAAATTTCTGAGTGCGTGTAATGTCTTAATGCTCAAATAGAATACATATCGGAGGCACCTTGACTATCAGAAACACTTAAAAATTGTCTTGGAATTTGTAGAACAAGAATTTTTCTGTTATCTACAGATAAGTCTCCTTCTGTCTTTTTTTTTGGTTAGTGATGGAAACTGATTGATTTCGATAGGTAAAAAATAAGATTTAGATCCTAAATAAAAATTTTTTTTTTTTTTGTCCTTAGAGGGACTGAGAGTTTCTAAATGAGAAACTATGGGTCAAATGTTTTACCACCTTTTACAGACCTAGAGAAACACGGAGCTAAGGCTCTCTGCCTTTTAAGTAATTCAACTTTAACAACTTATTGTGAGTTAGACTTATTGTTGGGTTAAATATGGGATACCATGGAGCTTTTGATGAAAATATAGGGGTATGAATCTAAAAACTGGTGATAGCTTTTATGATATGGGGCTGAGGATGTGGGAAAGTTGACGAATTCTGAAATGGTGACCTTGGCACTAGCTCTAACTGCAGCTACTACATGGTCAGGTTTGGCCAATTATTAAATACATTTTCTGACTGCTGTGGCTTTGTATGTTTCATTTATTCTCTACTTAACCAGTATTTATTGAGAACCTGCTATGTGCCCAATACCACATTAGGCAGTAGGGATAACTAAAACAGCTTTACCCTCAAGTTGCCCACGGTCTGCAGGAGAGATTACATAAACAACCAGCACTTTTCTCATTATGTTGTATGGTAGGTGCTGGGGAAGCACAGAGGAGCATTTTAAACAGTCTGAGGCTGGAGTGCAAGCACCAGTCTAGGAAAAACCTAGAGGAGTTGACATTTAAAATGGAGTAGAAATTGGCCAGTTAAAGTGAGAATGGCTTAACAGAAGATATAGCATTCCAGAAGCAAAAAGGCATGAGAAACCATGGCAGTTTGGTAAACTGCAAGAAGTTTAACAGAAGTAGATTTTATGGCAAATGTATGTAATATTAGGGATAGGGTGATGAGAGGGTGGATAGAGAACAGATGATAAAGTGACATAGTGTATTCAGTGCCGAGGGATTAAGATTTTATCCGGAAGACAGTGGGATCAGTTAAGATACTTGAGGTAGAAAAGACTTTTTAAATAAATACAGGTCATTTGGAAAGATCACTTTGGTACAATGTGGAGAGTCATTTGTAGGAGTGTGGTGTAGAGATGTGGGTTTTGTTTAAAAACAAGGAAACTAGTTGAGATCCTGAACCAAATTCATGTCAAGAGCACTGGAGAACAAAGGTCATATCTGGCAGCTATATAATAGGTTTGATCACTTGGACTTATGACTAAGTTGCTCTGGAGAAAGAAGCCTAATGTAGTTCTCAGATTTGGGGATTGTTCAACTAGATAAAACCAGTGGCCTTTAAGGTGAGAAGTTCTGATGGAGAAGGGTTTTCATAATGACTTCCATCGTGGGCCTTTTCATTTAATTTCATTTCTACCGTGTCCATTAGGAATTACTTTGTTTCCATTACTAGAAGTAACAGTGACTTCAACAAGAAAGAAGTTTCCTTTCTTATAAAAAGAGGCCAGAAGTTGACAGTCTGAGGCTGATTTGGTGTGTCTGTGGTCTCAAGGACCCACACTCCTTTAGTTTTTCTGCTGTCATCCTTAGTGCATTGCTTCCCATCTTAAGGCCGTCCTACGAATTAAGATGGGTGCTGGAGCTGCAGCCATCACATCCATATTCTAGGCAGCAGAAAGCAGGAAGGGCAAGAAAGGGTACACTTCCTAGCTGAGTTTAAGCAGCTTTTCTGGAAGTTCTACACAATATTACCTCTTGATTCAGAATATAGTCATATATTCACGTGGCCACATCTAGTGAGAAATTGTGATGTAAGTGCATTGTAACCCCAAATAAAGTTAGAATTCTTTTACTCAGGAAGAATGGTTAAGGGACAGGCAACCAGCAGTCTCAGTCCTAAACACCCTTTAAGATACTGGAAGGCAGTGGTCAGGAACTCCTGTTTTATTGAATAGTGTTTCTTCTTTGGCAAGTCTTTTTGACTGTCTGATATATGTATGGTTTCTTGTGTGTTTTTTAAACAATGTTCTCTCCTGTGTTATACTATGTGTACTTGAGATAGATATTAGTGGACCTCAGTGCTGAGATGAGGATTTACAGCTCTCTCTGTGGGTAAAATCTTAGTCATTTTAGGACCTGATGAAAGAAAACTGTTCAGAACTTGAAAAAGAACAAAGTATTGCTCACCTGTTTTTTAAAACTTTCATTGAATTGTAAAACGGGTACAAAAAAGTTCACATGTGAACTTTTTGATGAATGTTCATAAACTGAACACCCAGATCAAGGACACTACCTTGCTAATGTGTTTTTAATGTAAGCTTGCTTTTTTCTGATTTAAGGAGGAAGAAGGACATGTTTTCTTCAGATACGCTATTATCTTTCTCTTTTATACTGCCACCTCTATAGTTACAATTTGAATGATGCTCAAGGATTGTGTGATCAGCTAGTAAGAGAAGTATTGAGGTGGTCCCACCTACCTGTAAAAGAAAACGAAGATAGTTCAGGTAATACAATTTATTAATTTGTATTTATAGGTTTAGATATGGAATTGCTTATACATAAAAGTTGGTTCTGCCCTATTGTCAATTTTGGACTGGCTTTTCAACGGTAAGAACCATTTAAAAAATCTTTGGATT